GCCCACACACACAGTAAATTTTTCGATGGGCGCACTGGCCACTCGCGCGACAACGGGACAGACCGATGAGTTAACTAGACTATCGATATCGCAATACCGAGGATCACCAATTTTATTTAAATGCACAAAACCACCAAACCAGTTCTCACGTTATATTTCGTTTAGTCGGTCGCACACGACTCGTCAAACACTCGAGTGTGGCGAACTGGCTGCGCGCACGGCGCTAGCTCGCAGCAACGATATCGCTCTCGAGGCCCGCTGGCACCATCTTTCTCTCCTCTTCTCTCGCCTTGGCACACTGCGACACGGGGCGCGCGAATGATCACCGCGGACGCGGCTCGCTTTCCCCACACATTCGAGGTAATCACGGACGCCAGGAGGCGAAGACGATCAAATGAGTCGGCTTCGGGGCAGCCACCGCGCGCCGCAGAAATTCGCTCGAGAAAAGCGATCGCGAGAGTTCCGCACTGCACGAGTATCGGCTAACGTAAAATGGCGGCTGCTGTTGACGAGAGTTTTTCTACGCTTGTCAGAAAATATCCGACTGGTTCCGTATAGTCGCCGTGAATTTAGACCAGCCATCTGATTGGCTCCCGTGATCATGTGACCTGAAGTCCTTCTCTTATTGGCCAAACCGCTGCGAGGCCACGAACGCTCCGATTACGTTCACGCCGCCGGTCTAACAGCCGCGAGAATTTCGTTTATTCCTCTGCCGCCATTTGATAAAGGCCGGTCTTGCACAGTGGTTGTAAGATGCTCTTTGAATTAGATTCTTTATTCCTACCAGAGTACGTTTCTGGCCAAGTTTCACGAAACGAGAGTTACATGACGGTATATTTTTATCATTTATCACGCTATTCTTCGCTTTAGTGGTGTTCACGATTTCACAAACTTGAGAACGATATCCCAGCCTTAATTGCTTCTTGTTGCCGGAAAACATTGAGACAGTGATCCCCGCGATTCGAGATATCGAATAGACAAACTCAGGCTTTCGCAATTTCGAATTTTCTCCATATGCTTTACAAACGTTATTTTATTTTGTTTCTATATATATAAAGTAGAAGTCTTTCAACGTTCATTATAGTGTATTACAAGTAAAACATTTGCAAACGTAAGTTCTACGTATACAAAATGTCTTTATTGAGACAAAACATTTTTGCAATTTATATTGTATTCGATTGTATGACTATACGTATGTTCACTTAACATAACCTTCAGAATTTTCGTCAGTATTATGTAATACAAATAACTGAATCATTCGATGCATAAATACACTACGTATCATTTTATCTTGTAAATAGATCACTTCTCTGTTAAAAAGTTACCATTTACCAGTTAGTTTTTCCAAATAGTGACAATATCGATGCTCGGAAAATTGTATTATTCTTGAATATATCTTTAAGTACGTTTCATCAACTAAAATTCCTAAATTGCATACATATATGTATAATATACATTTGTATTAATGATCACTTTCTCTTTTGAAATTGCAAGACTGAAATGTTCGCGTGATTTTATGTTCATAATAAATAACCTGCGTGCAAAAATATTTTTTTTACGATACAGATCCATAAGCCGTACATCGTGATCATTAAGAAAACCAAAAATCGCCTTTGTTTAGTACGTTTACAAAACCGAGAGTGTCAAAGGGATATCATTACAAGATGGCCAGGGATTTCTCGATCGACAGATTAAAAGGAAGAATGTACACAAGGTGGGGAGATTGCGTTGCGCAGAACGTCCTCTCTTCGAGAAAGAGAATCTGACTCGTGGATAGGTGCGAACGGCACGCGACTCGCTGCACGCATATATTGTGCGTGAACTTGCTTCCATCTCCCTTTTCCTGCTCTGTTCTTTCTCACTCTCTGCGTTTCTCTCTTTCGGTCATGCGTTTGTAGTGCGCTCGTGCGCGCGCGCGATAGTGTCAGATACAGAGAATTGTGTAAAGAAAGAGGTGAACGTGAGAAGAGAGGGAGTATTGGAAATGGGACGGGAATTGGATGACGCCGTGGCAGCAGCCACCTAGCCACCCATCTCAGTGACAGCGACTCTTTGTGGAGTGTTGCTAGTCGCTTACATCGCATTATTTCCTTCAACTATAGTCTTACGGTCCCTTCGATGATCTCTTAGTAACAAGTAAATGCGCAATGAATGGTTTTTTTTTTTCAGAGGAATTTTTACTACGTCGAACATTTATCGTTTTTAGTTTTGAGAAGAAATTTGTTCTGTTCTTATCAAATGTATTAATTTATCAATTGTATTATCAACATTAGTAGGTACATCGTGCATAAATTTATATGGTGTCAATAAATTTCAAATTGTGTCGGGGTCACTTAGACGATTTTATGTTATCAAGCGGTATTTATTTTGAAATGATCAATAGAAATTAATAAGAAATCGCGAAAAATATGATTCATTTGATCATTAATTATAATTTTACTATTAAATATTAAATAAATTTAATATTCCTATATAAGTTACATTTATTTATTAAATCTTTTTTCATCATTGGACTGAAATTTTCAAATTGTTGAAATAAATTTTCACGATTTTGAATAATTTGTTGTATATGTTTTTTACGATTTTTATTTTTTAATAGTACATGTTTTGAAATTGAAAAACATTTGCATGTTCAAAAAAACATAAACGAAAGAAAGAAGTAAATTATAAAGAGAAAAAATTTTTAAGCAACAACAGTTATCTATTTTTTCATTTATTGTAAATGTAAGCTAGGAACATAATTATTTAAAAAATTGAAATGAAAGATACAAGATAATTGAGAGATTTGAGTTTGAACCATTTAAGCAATTGTGCATATGAAAACAAGAAAAAATTAGTTAATTAATATAAATAAGAAACAAACCTGAGTTATATTATACATATTATACATATTGCACATTCCATTGTCCTGCATTATAGCTGTTTCATCGTATCACTATTTACTGTCATTTACCATGACAACATATTACTACAAACATTTCATAAAATCGCGGGAAGCCATACTAGCTAGGTTATGTTTACATCGAAACTGAATTGCATTGTTGCCACATTTATGTTCAACACGGCTGATACTGAATAGAGTCGTTTGTGTTTAATATTCTAAATATGTTTCTAAATATTCTTCAAACATTTAATCTACTATTAAGTTGAATATTATTGTCAGATTATCCTTCTCCAGAAATAGCAAATGTACACTCACTGCAATAGAGCGAAAAAAATCACGAAAATCTGTTGATAATCTTTATTCAAATGTTACGTAACTATTCACAAACTAAGACAAAACGCTATAGTTAAACAATGCTATTAATTAGAACTATTATTAAGTGTTTAATTTGATCTATTTGATGATTATTGTTTCTTATCCCTTTTCTTTAAATTATATTTCATAAGGCAAATGCATATAGTTGAATATTTTATCTTAAATTATATTTTATAAGGCAAACGATATGTTATTTAATTACGCATTGTTCATTTTTATATGACGGAATAGAAATAAAGGTATTTATAGAAGATGCATATCCATAAAGAAGATCTAATGTTTATCAATATATCAATTTACCAAAAAAATTGATTCGAAATTGTATTGCATTTTGATTATTACAAATTAAATGAGTTATTTTCACGCAAGTTTCTACTTACTGATATGATCGTTATCTACCATGATAACAGACGCAGTTTTCGTAATCTTGCCGTCGATATGATACGATTTCATTCTATATTATTTGTAATAATTATGAATTTGATTTGTTACCCATTCTAATATAAATAAGTTATATATAGAAAAAGTAATTTTCTCATACATATATGCGTTAAAGAAGAGGGAAATATACTTCGTTTTGAAATAGTTTAATGGAATTCTGATTACTCAATATTAATCTATCGATTATGTATCTGTGTAATAAAGTAATTGTAATAGGTTAAAGAAGCAAGGTCATGTATTAAATTCCGATGTCTGTTACATTTCATAATATTTCCTATTAGATATTATGAAAAAACGGTACAACAATAACATGTTGTCACAATAAAAGATTAAAGCAATAAATAAAATATGTATATCTTCTGAGAATATTTCATAACATGGTGCTATCTAAAAAAAAAAATTTGTGAAAAAAATGGCAATAGTATGTTCAAAATAATTCAATAATTAAAATGAAGTTGATTATACATATATACGTACCTATATATGTAAATACATTTTAACACCATTTATTTCGAAAAGATTTTTGACAGATTCCAAGTTTGGTATCATTGTAAGTCAAAGATGACCCTAGCTCTGCTTGCATGCTGTATCTTAAGAATACATCGAGAATATTTTTTTTTCTTCGCGATGTAAGGAAACACGGTTTAAATATAAGTAGTGAAATTTTGATTTCATGTGTTTGCTTAATGGTTTGCTAAACCTATATAATCTGACTGTGAAAAGAAATGAGCTTTGAATAACATTTTTGACCCTTATTATTTTCATAAAATAAGCATGTTTATTTTTACCACAGTATAATCGACAAACTAAAATCAGTTTTTATAAAAATTAAATATATTTTTTTATGAAAAAGTTAGATATTTAAAATTTCACAAATAACAAAAAAAATTATAAGTATAAAATAAAATAATTTTTAAAAATTTGTGAAACTTTAAACAATAAATTTATTTGGCTGAATTATGCATATTCTCATTCTTGTGTACAATATCATATGCAATAACACATATACATACATATTATACACATATTAAAAATTAGGAATTATATAGTTTTATTTATGTAATTTAATAATTTTTATGTATGTATTTCCAATATACTTACAACATATAATTAAAAAATGAACTCAACAAAGATTATAGTATTAAATTAATAAAATAAAATTGAACTTTTATTGGATTTTTAATAATACATACTTTAGAACCAAAACCATTACATGTTTTACTTTTCTACATATTCTTCATTGAAAATGAGAAAAAATGAAATCACGTAAATAAGTGCAATTAAGTCAAAATTACAAATATGTTTGAAAGAAATTATTTTTTTTAATATAAACAAGAATTAATATGATCTCCATATAATTGCATATAATAGTAGGGTCATTCAAACCTGCACCTTACGAACTATCCACTCGTTTTTTAATAATAACAGAAAGTACATATCAATACATAACATTTTCTATAAATAATCTTACATAAAATTCTAACTGGTCGGTATAATATTGGAATAATTAACACACAAACATACGTACCAATTAACAGAAAAAGTATAACAACATACATAGATATGATATAACATTTGTAATAAATCATATTGACAATAATAAGAATAAAATATTCCGTAATTAATAAATCACATATTTAACGTATAAGAAAATAACATATGTTGGTATAAAGCACGTTTAATTTGGTCAAGTACTTGATTAAAATTTTAATCTGAGCAAACTGTTTTTGTACAAATTGGAATAAATATATATAATATGCATTATTCTCATAAATTTTATAAACAATAAAAATTTTCACAAAAGAACTCAGTCTCTTATTACATGATGACTATATTAAAGATTGAGTGAATATCATCTGTATCGTAGTGTTATAGAAAAAATGCAGTTTCTTTCAGTATCGCTTTTTGAAATTGAAATCAATTTCAAATCAATTTAAAATGAATATTACTTACAAATACGAAATGTTTGTGATATGATACAATTACAAAAAGTTTACAAATATTTTTGTTTTGTGGGAATGATACGGAATTGTTTTATCTACAGAGTATCATTCACATATTAATTTTTGGATAATTATACACAATAGCAGAATGCTTCCTTTCTTTCATAATAATTTGTAAACGAAACAAATTAGGTTTTATTAAATTACATGTAGTTGTTTAGACTTTACTTCCTTTAACAACATTATTTAAAAATTCAAATTTATAATTTACCTTAATTAATATCTATATACTTTTTTATTATAGAAATAGTGTCAACTATAATAGGATAAATCACACAAATAATTAAGAAAATGCATATATTTTAAAAATAAACAATATATATGTGTATATATTTTCACGTCTTTTAAATTTAAAAATAACTGATAAACAAATTTCAATTTTTAAACAATTACGTAACGCATTAAAATTTATAGCAAGATTCACACGTACTCATTTCCTTTCATATAAAAAAGACTAGTTAACGTGCATCATTCTTTATAAACTTTCAAATAGAATTTTAATGTTGCTTTTTAATGTTGTATACAAAAATGTTTCAAAATTGAGACTGATATTTGATTTATACTTTATTCTTTGTAGAATAAATATAGCTAAAAAGAACTGAAGTTATTCTGTATCTCTTAGATGGTATCATTTTGTTTTTAGAAAGCATAATGTTTTTATGTTAAGAAAATATTTTCTCCTATTACAATGTAAATATGCAATTTATTGCATTAACTTAATATTAAATTTCGAATGCATGTCAAATATAACATCATTTTATTAAAGTTTACAGATTCCAAATACATATATTATATGTATGTACGAAATGCTATGTTGCAAAATGCGAATAATATAAACAAAGATATTTAATGGCTCAAAGTTTTCTCTCTTATGTCTAGTCATATATAAAAACATTATACTATTGGAGTATCCTTATTGATTGAAAAATTGGATACTTAAAAAAGATCTTCACACATAAACACCAGTTTTGAACAGTTATATACTTTTAACTTGATCAAAAGATACCATTTTAGTGTTTATTTTAATATTATTATGATGTAATAAAATATCCAGATAAATGTCCATAATTATATTCATGAGCCACGATTTTAAGAGTTTTTTTAATGGTGTGCGCGCAATATCCTTCTGAGACTGTTTGGCATTTGATGTACAATCAAGCAGTCAATCATTTTTAGATTTTGTTTCATTTTCTAGTTGACTACCTTCATCTTCCTCATCTGAATAATTTGTAGGTGCTTCACCGGGTTTCAATAATTTTCCCACATAATCATATTTTTCTAAAATAAAAAGAGACAAAAGTAATGATGTTTGTATGGCATTTATATTTCTTCTTTTCTCAAACTATATGTATTGAATTTTGATTTTAAATTGTAAATATTAAATTTTGTTGCACAGATTTATTGCATATTAATATTAACAATAATTAACAAACATTTCTTCAAATTTTTTAGTATTTATTTATAAGATTTTATCTCTGATTTTCTATTAAAAAACTTATATTTTATGAAGTTATTACCTTTAAATTGTTCTTCCCACTCTCTCATAGATTCCATCTCTCCAGTTTTCAAATCACTTAGGTCATCATATTCTTGTGACGTTTCCAATGAAAATTTTGCTAGGGCTCTACTAATATCTTTCCCACCAAATACCTCATACGGAGCACCTATAATAAAATTGATAAAACAATATGTTAGTCATGTAAAGTATTATAATTCTAAAAAAACATAAAAATTACTGTTTTATTAAATTAAATATTTTTATAACTTTTTTTTTCAATTAATCATTAATATATATTCATTGAAACCTTTTATAATTCATGACTGAATCTTGCATTTCAATGGTGTATAAATTGTTAGAGTAATCCACATACATTCTGCTATTTGAAAGTTATTTCATAACTTTCTCAATTATCACAATATTGTAACGTTTGCAGATTTATTTTTGCACAAACTAAGACTAATGATAAACAACAAATAATGGAAGTTACAAGTTAACTAACAATACTGGAAAATTGAGATACGCAATATAAAGTCGCGATTACATAGCAATTTTGTGTACGACGTAGACTAGTTAATTATCATACAAGATAAACGATTAGAAGTGGTTGTATGCTTACCAGGGCCATAAAAGTGAGCACCAAGAGTACAGTCGTAAACACTACCGTTTATAGCAATTAATATTCGTCCATCTGGTCCCTTGCCATTATATTTTTTCAACTCTTCAACTGTAAAGTCACGTCGTATTTTTGGCAGTTTTTTTATCTCTTTCACGGGTTCTTCAACCTTCGTCTTGCTTTTAACAATTTTGTAAACTAAAAAAGCGATCACGCCTACTAAAAGGAGATTTATAGGACTCTTTATGATTTCAGCGATGAAGCTTGAAAGTAGTTGTTGACTTTCCTGCCCGGTAGAACTTGAGGTGGAACCCGGCGAGTCATTCTTTTCCGCCATTTTGACCACCAGTTCTTGGATGATGGAAGAATAAAATAATATTTCTTGCTTACTATTAATTAACCTCGCGTTATGTATGTATTAAAGAGTTTAAAAAAAATTTTTAATAATGTTTCAGAAAGATGAATCAGTATCTGTCAAATATACCGCTTAAACTGTACCGCGTACAATCTCAATCGCCAACTGCTTACATACCGGCACTGGTTATACTAGTGCCTACACTGATATCATGTTCTTTAACATACACTACCCCACTACTAAACTGCATGTACGGAACAACTATGTATATAGAAGTTTCTTATTTGTTGTAACACAAGTTAAAATAATAGAATCTGCTAAGTTGAAAACAATACCTTTAACTATCATCATTTATGTTTTACAATAATTTTTTATCATTTTACAATGATATGAAAAGATGTATCATTGTAGGTACCCCGTAATTTTAGAAATTTTTTTGTTATTATTGCTACTTACGCAAAAATTGTTATCAGTATTTTCACATCGATACCAATGATACATTATCGAAACTAATAAGAAATTTGTTATACAGTACAATATATGCAAATTTAAATTCGGCACATGCGTATAGATAAGTATGTCGCTTTAAAACTTGAAAATTATGCTCTTGTAGATTTTTAATAAGTTATATCATTTTATTAAAAATATAAGACTAAAAGATATTAAATATAACCTGAAAGGTTATTTTCTATTTTAATAAAAATACGTATTATTAATTATTCAAATATATTTCATCTTTTTAAACAAATACTTTTTATAAAAGTAAAATAAATATAACAATTATTATGCATTTTCGTCTTCAATGTATTTTATTTCAATCAATTTAACATAGTAAAGGTATAAACATGTACTTTAAAGAATCTATTAGAACGATTATTGCGAGATATTCAACGTCATTATATTGAGTTCAATTTTTCAAAGTCATGCTATGTTGTCATTTTTCTGATACGTATATATTTCTACGTGTTTGTGCGAAAATATCTTGATAAATTGAATTTTAATTGATGCAAACCCGTTAGATGCCGCTTTATTGTGCCTTATCAGTGTTTATCAAATTCTCGCGTATTAAGCATATCTTAAATGTATATGTTAGATATGCGTGTTAATAATACTCAGATCGAATAAAACCACGTAAGAATTCTGCAACTTTTAATGATTTAAAGTAGTTTTAATGATTTAAAGCAAATTGTTTAAAGTAGTCAGAATAGTAGTAGTGGAATTGAATCAATTATACTTGCTGGAGACTAGTTTATTGGCAATAATATCTACATACTATTGATGTTTCCACGTGATCATTATTTGATTTGTGCACAAATTTTATAAATAATATATGAATTTATATAAGCTACTTGTACTTAATTATGTTGTACTCATATTGGACGGCACTGTTTGATAAAAATAATAACTTTTCTATCTTCTATTAAATTATAGCTAAAACTCTTTAGGTTTTCATTGACGGTTTTTCTTCTTGAAAATCGAGATACAGACGGATGTCAAGAGTAGATGAAACCATGTTAACATCTACTTTTTCTGAGCACATAGGGCATGTCTTTTCAGATTCAATGATCCTAATTCAATAGAAAATAATGAAATGCATTATCTTTAAAATAAAATGTTATACGTACCTTAAGAATTCACTTTTTATACAAGGAAAATCACACTGTGGACACGCTGTAAAGTCATTTTCAATGATATGTCGTCCCTGAAAATTGTTGTATCATTAAAAAAACAATATATGAATTACATTTTAAAATCAATACAAGAATGCTCTAAATACACTAACTGTAACTATACAAAAAGGTATTGTATTTTTGCATTTGTTGCAATTAATCTCTGTTTCTGGAAGTTTATTCTTGCAATATGGGCATGGAGTTAGAGGTTCGTCTTCAATTTCGTTATCTTTTGATTTTGGTGGCTTTCTTACAATTGCTTCAATCTTTTTACTGTACTTAGCATCAATTTGGCTTCTATATTCCGGACGCATCAACATAGCGGCGTAATTAAATGCAGCGTACTTCAATCCAGCTCTTTGACATTCTATTACAGTTGAAGTCAAAATTGGAACAATATCTGAAGCGAAAAGAATATGTATGTCAAACATTGTTCATATAATTTCGAAATAATTAAATATCTTTTACTAACGTGATGGAAATTTTGATATATTATTAGCTACTCTTATTAACATACGAGCACCACGTAAATGATCATTTTTTTTTACATGAAGCCTGACAAGAATGTATGAATGTAAAAGTCTTAAATTATCTTGCATTTCTGAAGGTATATTGATTTTATTTTTTTTCAGTTCTTGATACATGCCAAATAAAACATCATGAGCGCTTCTATAATTTCCTGTAAAACAAACCGGTACATAATTTCTTTAATATTAGTTATATAAATACTTTAATATTTATTAGTTAAATAAATATTAATTATATAAAAACAAAAAATACCATTAATTTGTTCTTCATTTGCAATTATAATTGCTGTTTTTGCAGCTTCTTTGTATTGTTTTCTAGCCATGTATAATCTAAATAGATATTTAGGATCCTGTAATGAATGTGAATAATTGAGCATTAAGTCGATATATCTTTATTAAACTAAATATTATTACCTTAGGTAATCCATCTCCACCTAATAAAAAATCAATTAATTGATTTGCTAATTTGTCATCTTTTGAAGAAGCAACTGCATCAATAGCTAATGACAGGACTTCATTTTCATCTGTTACTAATTGAGCAGCTTTTAACAAATGCCGCAATGCTTTTTGATATTCCTTAGCATGAAAGTAATATTTTCCAGCTAAAAAATTATTTTTCTGAGATTCGAAATGCATTGCAAGACTTTTAAAATCTTCTCTTCGTGCATTGCTATCGTCAATTGTATTTATTAGGATTTCCCCATACAATTCCATTTTTCCGTGTTGATTAGCTAACTGGAACGCTTCTTCGTGACAATTTGATAAAATCAGAAATTTAATTGCTGAATTATAGTCATTCATTTTTTGAAAGTATTTTGCGACTAGTTTAGCTCCTTCTATACTTTTAGTTTGTTGTACTACTTCAACACTTCGAGCTAGAATTAGTAGTCATAGATGTATATTTTAGATGCAAATTTAATATTAGATACAAGATGTTTTAATATTAATTACTTTACCAGGATTATTTAAATATTCCAAATTAATTCTAATTATGTTCTCATAATCTTTTGCAGTCTCATATGCTTTAGCTGCTTCTTCATATTTGCCTTCAGCTTCTTTGGCTTTGGCATATTGTATATTAATTTTGGCAGATGAAATTTGTGGTAAAAGTTGCCCCACTTTTTGCCAATTTTTTAATTTTATATATGCAGAAGCTGCTTTATCAAAATATTCAGCTTTTTCATATAACAATGCAGCTTCATTAAATTGCTGTAACAGTGATCAAATTGAAATATTTATAAAATGCATGTATATATTTATAATACATACTTTCATTGATTCTAGTATTTCTGCACATTCTTTTCGTAAGTGTCTTGAACTTTCATTATCCATAGCTATGCTCACTCCTTTTCTACTATCTCCACATCTGATAGACATTCTCGCAATTCCAGCAAGACATAAATTTCGATGATGCGGATTATGTGCAGTTGCATTAGATATATTATTTGAATCTATTAATCCACGTTCGTAATTTGTTAACGCTTTTGGATAATTACCTCTAGAAAAAGAATTCAAAATTTAAGTTTAAATACTAGTATATAAATAATTTATACATTTAATATTATATTCTTACGTAAACTCTAACTGTTGAGCATATTCTCTAGCAATATAAGGAATTTCATCAGCTTTCAACTTCTGTGCTAAATTCAATGCTTGTTCCCATTGCATTAAGTCCCTTCTTAAATACAAAGCTTGTACTGGTTCTGATGATTGTAAAAAAAATTGTTCTGCCTCATTATAATTACCAAGTAAAATACAAGCATGTCCACATAACAATGGCAATTCATCAATATTTTCCATATTTTGTAATGCCCAAACCATTGCAGCATCTTCCAAGTAGCGATAAATTCGAATTGCTGTGATAAAAAATGATTATTTGAAAATAATATAGTCATATAATTTATATACTTTGTGTATATTTTATGTAAGAGTAATAATAATAATAATGATAAATTCATTATTACTAATGATAAATACCAAAATTAATATTCAAATTTGCAATTGCACTTTCTCCTAATTTTAACCATGAATCTTTTTCGTTGATTCTTTCACATGTGTCCCATGCCTGTTGATATCTAAAATATTTTATTGTTAATAAGTAAATATTTTATTGTTAATAAGTAAAAAAAGGAAATGAGATATTTACCTTCTGCAAAGAATCTGATTTTCTAATATTTCTTTCATTTTTGTATATTCCACAATATTTCCTATATCTTCATGAGAAGACAATGTAATTTGCATTAATTTATTACTTGTTGAACTTAATGTCAATTCTCCAGAATACATCAGTAGTGGTAATGTTTCAGATGGCAGTTTTGTTGTATTTATCTTTATAATTTTTGTACCTAGCATGTTCCAAACATACATGTAGAATATGTTTGTTTAACATATATTGTATAATTTTTAAGTTTTAGTTTACCTTCAATAAAGTATTTCACAAACATATATGTAGTAATGACAGTTTTATTGTAAATAGCAAATATATTACGTTCCATAATATTTTGATCCCAAATTACACCTCGAATATAATCTAGACAATCAGGAATTTGTAAAACAGTTTCTTGGACAGGATTATACATATAAGCGTCAAACTTATTATCTATGAAACACAATTGTGTTCCATTTGTATCTAAATAGATTTCCTTTATGCCATTATCATGTACATGTTCAGTACATTGAGTAAAGACTTCTAAACAAAAATAAATTATGTGGCCCATCTAAATATATCACAAATGTAAGTTAGTTATTTCAATATTCACTTAGAATTCCATACATTTATATAAATAACTTACATCACTGCCATAGATTAAAAAGTCGTTACTAAGAGCATGGCACGTTACTTTAAAGTCTGAAGCATTTAAGTCTGGAAACATTTTCGTGTCTTTCCCTTCTTTTGTTAGTGTTTGATCCATTTTAATCTACAAGGACGATATGTTAATACATAATCGATTCATTAATACGTTGTAATATTAGTTTATGCATGTTTTAATATACTTGTTACCGAATGCAACTGTAATTTGCCATCGAATAAAACAGATGCATAGGCTTCATTCAATCTTATACTATCTATTGTTGCTAAATAATCTCTTTCGAAGTGCACTGTAGTATTATAATGGCTTTCAGTTATATCCCAGAACAATGCTCTGTTGTTTAATCCTACTGCTGCATGCATGGGACCTATTGTTAATACCGACGGTTCTATTATACTGTTAATTATTATTGGTTCTGATTTCTCCTAAAAATTAATTTTAAATATTTACATGCAATTTTACATGGTTAATATTCTGTATTATGCATCGAATTTTACCTTATCTAATGTATAGAGATGGACTGTAATTTCTGTTAAACTGGTAAGTAGTGCAATTCTATTTCCACAGACGCTGGATAATTTAGGGATTTGTATTAAATAGACCAAAACATTACCACTGTGAGTCACAGTTGCTATCATTGTACCATCCATTGACCATTCTACTGTACTAATTCCAGTTTCACCACTTACTGAAATTAATTTTTCAGTTTCTTCTAAATTTTGCAGATTATGTATTTTTATGGTATTATCTCCACATGTAGCAATTTTCCCTATTATTTGACTTATAGTCAAGTCAGTCAAGGAATCTTTATGATTCTTAACTTGAAATAGTTCTTGACCAACCTCTTTAATATGCGTGGATATTGCAGTGAAATACCCAGTTTGAAAACCGACTAAAATATAGCCATCCCCATACCTAAAACAGGATATATAATAAGAGCAAAAATAATTGGGTTTAAATCAGTTTCTAACAATCTAGATCTTCTTACCATTTATAAGTAACAATAGAACCATAACGTTTTTGAAAAGCTAATTCAATAGGATTTTCTGGATCCAAAATATTGTATAAAAATAAAGTAGTTTTACTAATAATAAGAGATACCTAGCAAACAATAAGAAAATTAGTACTTTACATATACAGACGCAAGTATATTTTATATATCGCTGCTTTATGAAAGAATCATACTGTATTTTCACCCCCAACTCTGTGATCCATTTTCATCTCATTAAACTGAATATCAGATGCATCACCTTGAAGAGGTATTTCACGTTTTGTATCCCCATCACTTGTGCTGATAGTTAAAACCTTGTCTTCACTGGCTAATGCAAGGAGACCTTCATAAGACCAAGCACCACAAGTTATCTTCTTTCTGTGTTTCCCCAAAATTGGTATTCGTCTATACAGTAATTCATAATTCAATATATGATCATAACAATATAACAATATTTAGAAATATTTTGCATCAAAAAGACTGATACCATACTTGGCATTTAAATGATCATAAAGCACCAGATTCCCTTTTTGTGTTCCTACTGCTAACAGACAAGTTCTTTTCGCCCATATCATGCATGTTAATCCATCTCTTACGCCAGCATCTATTTGTGTCTTTTTTCCAGTTGTTGCATCCCATAATGTGATGGTAGAGGAATTCTGCGATATAATAGCCAATAGATCTCCATCAGAATCCCATCCAAAACCAGTGCACAGACCAGCAATTTGGATACGTTCTTGCAAATCGCCTTGTCTATCAAAAATAGCAACTGAAGAATCATAACCAGTAGTTGCTAAATGAGTGCTATTACCAGGACGCCAGGAAATGAAAACGGTACCAGTACCATGGGGTTGATACAACTGATAAAGAACCTACATCAAAATAATTGAATAAATGTACATATACTATATGCTGACAGATATGTACAAATAAAATAAATACTGATTTCTTCTTATATATATTTCGAGCAGATAAGCATCTTCCGAGTCGAAACGTATAAATATTTATAAATGTTTTTTTCATAACTTAAATCTTAAATAATGAGCAAAGATATTGCATAACCAACCTTTTCAGTCGACATTTTTTGAGATTAAACTGTTTAACATCGAGAAAGCTGATTGCCTAAGAATGTATAAAAATGCTATAACGGCGCATAGTTAAAATATTAATTTATTAAACGAGAGATATTTTACATGTAACGTTGTATTTCTTTTATTCGCCATGTTGTTTATGTTTCGACAGGTTTCGATCAATTTCAAATTGTGTATGCGATTGTTGCCATGGATCGTGATAGGTAGCGCTGCATTTTGTAAATCATTTCTCGTCCCTTTTCTTTTCCAAACGTTCAGTGGCTTTATCGATTAAATCATTTTGGCAACAGAATGGTCAAAGCAACGATTAAACAGATGAGTGTGAGGTATTCAGTGAAGTATGCTATCATTATTTGAACATGATCGATTATTATTTATCATCGAAAAAATTGCACGTACTTTGCAACTCATACAATAATTGTTGTACAAAAGGTACTAATAGTATTCGTAGAATGATAATTAAGGTTAAAGAGAAATGTATAAATGTGACTAAAACAGGTGTATGCGATAAAGATCGAAAGAAAGGCTCATTTAAAATTCAATCCGAGTTTCTGTTCTTTCGCATCCACTCTGACAATGACGCAACATTTATTAGTTATGCCATTAATATTTTCATCGTCAAGATCCGCGGAAGTGTCACGTACCCCGATTATGGCGATTATATCGAAAGCTCAAACTTTCAGATTTTAGTTCAACAAATAGATCGAATCTGTTGTGTCTGGATGATAAACGTTTGTTCAGCTATCCAAGTGTTTTACTTTATGAATTTATTTAATTTTCTTCAATGTTTATTTTTTTAAAGTTGTCATCGTTGATAACGACAATTACGCACGTAATCGCTACGCGTTATCTTTTTGTTGGAATAAGCTGTAGAACATTCTACCACCTCGTAAAGCGAGGTTTGTTTAGTGACAAATTCTAATGACACGGATAATCAGGTGGGTCTATCTTTCGAGCAATATCATACGAGAATGAATCACTTTCGAATTGTGTAGTAGTCATATTGTTCAGACAATTCGACAAAGTCGCAGGGAAAATAGATTAAAAAGTACAACATTACGGTAAGCTCACGAGGATTATTTGCCCAGTAACAGGATGCAATGTTAATTCTTTTTCCATAAATTTTGCCACATTACACTTGGCAGGAATGTTACAATTGCTGGGCCGTCGCGAAAGTTTCTTTATTATTTCTGAACTATTTTGTTCTCTGCTGCAAATACAGTATTTCCTTTTTTAAAGCAGCTTTAAGACCAATATCTAATAATTTTATTCCGAAACGATCTTACAGTTGGACCTTCGGTATCGAGACGATAAGATGCAGAAACGTTGCAATGATATTTGGTACCTCGAGCGGCTTTCCAATGACCCTGGAATTTTGGATAATCTCGTGTAAGTGAACCTTCGATGGAAATATACATCCTCGAGCGAATAATTTGCCTTTTTAGCAAAAATCGTGTGAAAGAAGAACTGCGCGTGACTCGGTAAACTCGTATTCGTACGTCTTTCAATCTTTATGCGTTTGCTTATAAACGTAAGAGGAAAATGCCATTTGTTCAAGATCGCAAACAAAGATAAAACTCTATTCTTGAAACCGTTTATTATTACACGAGCCGTTGTAACGCGTACAATGTTGCTTTACTGACCCGAATTAACCAGTCGATCAAGTTTTTGAAACGATATACACGCATCAGCGATCTTCTTTTCTCTCTCTCTCTCTCCCTCTCTCTCTTTCTCTCCCTCTCTCTCTCTCTCTCTCCCCTCTCCTTCTCTTTTACCGATCGAAAACAAACAATAAAATATTTAAGGAACATTTAATACTTATCTTTAATATGATTTCCTTCGACTCAAAAACGTGTTTCGTTTCATGCTTCAACAAGCATCCGCTGACTTAACATCATAGTTCACTGTTTTGTATATGAATATGATTTAACTTGAAAAGGCATAGAAACAATAATTAGGAAGGACGTTGCTCTCATGGATTAAATCGCTTAAATCTATTCGCGGTGTGATCATAAAAGTGATGATAATAATCGTTCCATCGTTATAGATATTCAATACGTAGCAATGTTGTTCGGTATATATATACAAGTATGTAGCAGTATCGCCGAGAGTCGCGAGATCTTTTTCCTTTTATTATATTTCCTCGTTTTTGCCGATCGATCGTCGTATACTATGTACAAAGGACAAATCAACACATGTACGTAGAGAAGGGCCAACGTTTTGATTTTCTCCTCGACGCAGGGGGGCGCAAGGTACACCGTGGTGCGGTTCCTTTTTTTTTTTTTTTTTTTTTTTTTTCTTTTTCTTTTTTGGCGAATAAATATTCATTTCCGGTGATCGAGGTCGCGAAAGTGGTGGGGTGCTGCTGCAACACCTCGCGGCTCTCAGGAGCCTGATTCAAATGGAAGGAATACGATCTATCTTACAAGCTGAATAATGTTGGTGCGTTAACGTAGTACAGTGCGCCTCTATTAACGCGGTTACGAGCTTAGAGATAAATTCATACTCGTCGTTAATGCTATTACTCGTTATTACAAACTAGAAACAATCTCTAATGACTTTTTGCGAGTAGAACTTTGTAATTAGGCTCTTGAGCAGTGTCTAAACACGCGAAAGAAACGAAATCGAGAAACTCAATCTCGCGCGCGCGTACGCACGCCAGCTAAATCGTCCATTGATACGGCACCTTCGATTCTTCCCTCTTTCTTTCTTTTCTTCTTCTTCTTTTTTTTTTCTCCTCGTTGTTCTCGAGCTGTTTTCAGTCCCTGTCTAGGAGCTTCCTCGAGCTTTCNTTTTTTTTTGCGCGCGTCGTGAATTCACGCCACATTCGCCACTAAAAAGGTCTATCAAACGGTCAGCAGCGCCGGTTTCTCAACAGGGATTTTACATTTCGATTCGCGTTTCGCACCTCGAGAGAATGCCTCCCATCATTTCGTTCTGCTTGGTTTCGCGGGTGGAATGAGAGAAGTTTTGACGGCGTTTTTTTTTATGGGTAAGGGTTGTTGTTACATGTAAAAGTATTAAACACGCGTCGTACCTTTCGATAGAAATATGAAAAACAAACCGATATTACGCTACACGTTTCGTACTCTACGTTTCTCACACACACGCACGCATACGGATGCACACACGGACAGCGTGCATCGCATAGAATTATTCATCCTCTTTATTTTTCTCTATCTCACTTTCATTCTTCTCTCTCTCTCTCTCTCTCTCTCTCTCTCTCGTGTTCGTTTTCTCCTTCTCTCTTCTTTCTAATTACGAGCTACAGTACAGTTTATAGATCTTTTTTTTTTTTCTTTTTCTTTTTCTCTTTTTCTCGTTCATCTCATTAGGCCATTCCACGAGACGGCTATGGAATTTCGACGCTCACGAACGACGTGCGTTGCGTCGCATCGCTTGGCAAATAGAATCGCATCGCACGTACACCTTTTCTTTTTTTGAACCTAACCGTGTCTGCGGTCGATTCGGTACGATTCGTACTCTACTGGTTTACTAGTAAAAATTCACTGGAATACCTTGTTCGTTTACCACAGACGCTTTTGACAGAGTTAAGACGCGGCCTGAACGCCCCTCGAATCATCATCTCGCGACGAAGAATCATCTCGCTTCACGAAACTACTTCGCGGTGCGAGGGACAATCGTTATCATCGTTATCGGTGAGAAATTTCCTTTATTGCAAACAATCGCGTCTGCTCGCGATATTCGATCACCGGGCACGAAACAGCTGACCGACAACCAGGGTTCAACGCGCAACGCTGTGTATGTACGCGTGCGGACAATCTTATCTCGGGGAGGGCTGGTGAAAGGTTAAATAACGGTGAGATAATAAATTGACTCTGGTAAACCGCGACTCGAACCCCGTCCCCGTTCATCGGCGATCGTTCGCAGCGATCATTCTCCCTCACTGGTTGTGCAGTCGTCCGCCGGAGGCCTTCACTTGACTGTTGGTAACCTTCGGTATCGCCCCGATGATCTTCACGCGGTTCTGTTGCTGTTGCTGCTGCTGCTGCTGCGATTGTTGCTTGTTGTCGCAGAACTGGGGCGGAGGGGCGAACACCAATTCGTCGGGGTTGCCCGGGCCGGAAGGTCCGGCGTTGAACTCCGGCGGCGGTGGCACGAACAGATCGTTGCTCTGCTCCTCGGCATCGGCCTCGATCGGCGGTGGTAACTGGGCTAGGCTGACCGCGTGCCGCGTCAATAAACCGCTGCCGCCGTAGCTGGTCCTCTTCGGGTTCGTCTCCTTCTCCACGCTGGTAACCGAGAGCATCGTTGCCGGATGTTGCGCGGCCTCGTTGGCAAGGTTCCTCGCGGCCGTGTCGTCGAAACCTGTCGGCGGGCCGACCGGCACGTCCTGGTCGGAGCTCACGCCGCTCGAGCTGTTGTCACCGTCCTCGACGAGCGACTGCTGCGTCTGTTGCAGCAGAAAGTCGTTCGGATGGCTCTTGGACGACTTCAGCTGCGTCCTCACCTTCTGGATCTCCTCGACGCTGAACGAGTGCGGCAGCGAACTGCTGCCGGACGAACTCGAGCCGGATGTGTTCGAGTTGCCAGACGTTTCACGCGTCGACTCCAGTTTCTCCCTCGCCGCTGCTTTCTCCAGTTCCTTCGCGATCTCCGACTCGCCGTCGTCGTCTGTCTCCTCCTCGCCCTCGTCGTTCTCCGATTCCGACAGGCTGTAATCCGGTTCAGGGATCGGCGGCGCGGTGGTGTTTGTCACCGCGTTGTTCCCAGCGTTGTTGTTCGTCACCGAGGAGAGATTCGTGATGGAGGAGCTGGTGCTGATGATGGTCTTCTTCTTCCTCTCTCTGATGCCGGCGGTGCTGTGGCTCCTGTTGGTCTTCAGAGGTTGCGCGTACTGGTTGTTGGCCGACTGATTGTTGTTCACTTGGTTGTTGTTGCTGACGGTGTTGTTCACGTTCTGCTGGTTGTTCAACGGCTTGAAGGTCGTGTTGTTGGTGGTGCGCAGGCTGTGCGACTTCCTCACGTGACAGCGGGTCGTGTGCGCTGGCAGGCTGCGTGATCGATACCCAACTGTCTTCATGTCTTCCGGCGAGGCGTACAGCTTCGCGCTGTTCGACGGCCGGAAGCTCGACATCACGCCGTAACCTCCGTCTGCCGTTGCCGCTGCCAGCTCTAAAAAAAGAAAAAAAAAAAAAAAGGAAAGACAGACGTGCGTGTGTGTTTGTTATCTCTTTCGTGAAATATATGTATATCCATCTCCTTCTCCTACCGATCTACTTGTCGATCACAAACAGTACCTTTGACTTGCTGTATATGAGCCATGTTGTCGTACACAGAAGCTGGCGTGACCACGTCCGGCACGTTGGCGCCCACGTTCACTTTCACCACTTGGCCGACCGGTGGCGGAGGCGGCGGATGATTCGGTGGTGGAAGCCCGTTTCGGCCGTTCAACGCGTTCACGTCCTCCTGGCTTCTGTGCCCTTTCGGCGCCAGGATGGACGACTGCGCCTGCACGTTCAAGTCCGGCGTACTGTGAAAGTCACGGTGAAGATCGGAACCACCGCCCAATCCACCGAAGAATCGCACTCTCGAGTTCAACTGCGAACAAACCGGCAAAGCTCTATTGTCATGTCGACGATCCGGCGAGTTTTTTCTTTTTGTTCTTTTCTTTTTTTTTTTTTTTTTTTTTTGAATGAGCCGCGTTCACAGAAAACAAAATATAGCTTGGTCGGTGTATGTACATAGCTCGGTCTACTACCGTCACATTGTAACGCAATTATGTCCGAGAATTATGCCAACTCGGAGAAGCACCGGAGATAAAAAGCGGGTTACAGTATTTTTTTTAATGCACCATTTTAACGTTTCTCGAACTGCATCCACAAGTCTGTCTCAAGTTACGTAGTTAATGTCGAAAGTCTCAGTGACACGTGAGAATGTTTTTTTTTCTTTTTTTTTTTTTTAAGGTGATTGACAACCGACCAGAGAAGTCGGACGGATCATTCGGCCCGACTTTACACACACGAGACAGGGAATGGACGAGGTGGGAAGCTGCTGCACGGTCATGCAAAAACAACGTGTAAGCAAAGTAATTAAAATGTTCGTTTCATGGATACACGTCGTTAGTTATCTGCGAGGCGTGTTCATAAAGCTGAAAGTGATATCCGATACCCTTTCGAGCATCGGATTTTCATTAGCAAATGGCTTAGTCACCTGGAATCATGCAAGTCACGGACGCGCTAGAAACAAAGTATTTTCGATCAGTAATATAAGTCGTCCTCGTTGTCTCTCTCGTACCAGGAGCGCCCCTTGCTGTACACTCGTGCTGGCTTGCGAGAAAACTATAACACACATGCGTAAAAACAGCCACCATCACCACCTCGAGGTAGCATGCATCGAGGAGCATTAGCCACTCTGAAAAAATTCTTCCGAGTACTTTCTGAGCCGAGAAAAAAAAAAAAGAACCGGATGTATTCGTACAGAATCGATCGAACTAAAGGTTGGGGGGGGGGGGGGGGGAGAGGGTAGCGACTAGTTGAACTTGGCCAGAAATACTCTAACAACACGGACCTACTACAAACGACAAACAATTTGCCCAAGTTTGGGGACAGAGTCGCGTTCGTGATATCGGAGTTTTAAAGTGAGTTTCGCCGCTTCTAGGGATTTCTCTGGCCAGAAGCTGTACGGTCGGTTCGTTTGACTTTTCCCAAGATTGAAACATCACTTTTTACCAATTTTAATTGTCTCGTGAGCACGTGAATTCAATTTGAACCCGTGAAAGATGTTATCATACACACGCGTTAATTTAATTCGATCGTCCCTTTTCGCAAGATAAAATCCTTAGAAGAGACAGGTAGTTGGTGGTTTGCTCAAGTTTCTACGGCTGTTGAAATACCAAAGACTCTGAGACACCATCGAGATCGAAAGAAAAAAA